ATGACATCGTTGTCCGTACATTGTGCCACTGATCACATGCCCCATGCACAGCTGATATCTTTGTACCACTGATATCACGTACCACCCGATATCTTGGAAAAAGCTAGCACCGTCCCGAATTCCTTGGCTATCACACGCTAACTGTTTTGCGGCATGTGCGGTTCATGTGCTTTCCCAGTATCAGTATTGCATTCAGATCAGCCGCGTATTTGTCGCGCTCACCCCATCACGCTTACACACATGCCGCCGGAAGATCACGGAAAGTCAGAGAGTGCTGCTGTGCATCAGCTTAAGCACTCAAGAGTGCCGTCCGTTGTTTAGGTTTAAAATTAATCGCCCTGATACCACTTGGGTATGTTATAACTAATCACACCCTCCCCCACAGTGACAAAACATGTATGATTACCCAACCGCGCAGCCAGAGCCTTGGCAAGGGGGGAGGGGGGCACAGGGTTGACAAAAGGGCCATTGATCGTGAAAAGGTTTTCCCCAAAACATTATATTTTCGATACGGCCAATTTTTAACGAGGGCATGCTTTGCATTGACATTTTCCCATTTCTGCCTTCTATAACTGGATAAGGAGCCAGCAGCCGCCGCGAAACAAACTCTGATTGATTTCACAGTGAATCAACTGAAAAAATTATGCGTTAAGTGGTTGCATGAAACAGAGCACCGGCGTTCTGCATTCAACAATGATCCGATGGACTTTTCCAAATGGATATAACTCAGAAGTCCCGTCAAGTTTTCATATGGCTTTTACAGATGTATAAGGGCTCGCAAATGAAGACTGTAAATCGAAATAGGTCAGCAATGTGTATTAACATGGCTAAGTCAAACGAGTCCTTTGCCAACACAGGGCCCCCTATTAGGCGCTGTGGGGCCCTGACAGACGCTGAGGCCCCGGCCAACCTAAATCGCTTGCTTCTGTTTTGTCTCTGCTTGCGGAAGGGGCCATTAGGACCATGCCAACGCTGAGCCGGCTGTGCGTTATTGGGGGTGTCTGACCGATATATGGGCCCTTATCGACCCAGGGGTTTCCTGAACAGCATGCGGGGCCGTCTGGATAACATTCAGGAGTCCGGTCTTGCGGGCCAGGCCTCTGAAAGCGGCCTCCAGCCAGCCTTTCGGGCCCTTCAGTCCCTCAAATCGGGTCCCTCGGGTCCTCAAATCGGGTCCTTAACGTGAGTTGGGGCCCTGGGGAGGGGAGGTGTTCCCTGTGGCCCCCTGCCTGCGCTTCTGTGTTTGCCCCGTGGCTACGGTATGGCATCCGTCTCCAATAGTTTTGTGTTTGCCTATGGAAAAATGGAAACAGAGAGTACATTTGGCCACCTATTATGGTGACGACACAAGCATCCCAATGACACGCTGCTTGAGGATTACATACTTCACATGCTTCTTTAAGGTTTGCACCACCACCATTTATGGTGCGGTCTTAAGTGCAGCCAAATGTTCCCTGACGTGATGCGTTTAGGCTGGCAAAAGCGACTGCAGCATGAGCTAGATCCATTGCATACGGGCGAACGTAAGCAAATAACTCACTGCTGATGCGTTGACCCTCCTTTACGTTCACCAAGTAAGTCAGGGGTATCATATTGTAATAATGGCTATAGTTGCCCATTGGCAAATGGCACGTGGACGCTTCCTTTTCCCCTCTGATAGCGGTAACCTGCATAACGCTGATAAACCAACCCTGCCAACTGAAGGATTGGTAGCGCAGCTTTCGCGCGACCTGGCATACGAATGTTGCGAGCTTGTAAAGAGACAGAACTGATTGAAATTGAACCTCTTCAGGTCACATGAGTGGCATGTTACGACACCATCATAGCACATTTCAAGTCAGAAACACTTATCTGGATCTCTTGGCTGCCATATGACCTCTGCTCGACAATGGGCCATTACATCAGAGGTACATTCCCATCTATAAGGTTGAAATTTAGGTACATGCACACTTCGGTAGGTCGGTGTGCATGAACTGAAATGTTCCATCCGTCCTCCAAAATTCGTTTCGACAAGCTCAGAGATATTTGAATGAGCAGCTGGCACAGCGTTTCCCCATATTGATGGATCAGACGAATAATGTATATTTAAACACGCATTTAGTTTGCATGCCTGGTATATGCACGATACATTAGGTGCAAATTTATTTATGTCAGTACATTATATCATATGCTGCATTGTAGGATTATTTATTAGGGTATTACAATTACGGTGCATTCCACAAACACAAACGTTGACCAAACTGACATCAAAATTGCTGCATTTTTGAAAGATAAAACCCTTTTATAGCTCATTCTGATAAAAAACAACACTGAACAATCTGTATGGCACCCATTGTCTCCCAGTCGTCTGGCTGTGGTTCTTGCACTTGGATCAACATCTGCTTAATGCGAGCGGCGAACAGTTTAGAAGCTTCCGCGCTGCGAAATAAATGTTATTAAGGCTGCTCTTGGCAAAGTCTACATATGCTCATGGATCGTACAGCTTATGACAATCATCGTCAAACTTTTTAAACTGCTTGACAAATGGCAACAATAGCTGTTGGAAAAAAACACACCCTTGACTTGTCGAAAAGCGGCAGTCGCTTAGTGCTGTCAGTAATACGTGCAGCTGTCATCACGCCCCATGAAGTAAAAAAACAAATTACTGATTTAACTCAGCGATTGAATTCCGCACCGAAATGAATGACAGAACAGAGGCCGTTGTCGGGTCATGGGACCAACGGGGTGAGCTGACCCAAAGCATCACTCTTACCACCGACGTCGAGCTGAAACAGGACCATCAGCTTTAACTTCCCGGAGAGAACAACGCCCGCCTTCATGCAATGCCATGCGCGCATGACCGCGAAATCTGCGTCGCGGCAGATTAAACCCTCCTGTCGACTGTGACCACTGCATGCGTGGTCCGGACTGCAGCCACATGTTCGACCACTGCATACGTGGTCCGGACCGCAGCCACATGTTCGACCACTGAGTGCGTGGTCCGGACTGCAGCCACATGTTCTGGACCGGAGCCCAGAACTGCTCGATGCCCCACCTGGTGGGCGATTTCCCCGCCTGCCCACGTGTCATTTCAGACCAAATTTGCTATTTAAAGTTGGATCCAACCAATTTAAACTTATCTAAGTAAATTTGAGCCGTTTGGCAAACCAGTCTTTTTGGAGCGCTTCAAACATGAGCTCTGCCCGCCGGCGCGGCAGGTGGCGGCCGACCGGTGCTCCTGTCCACCGACCAGCGTGCTCAGCGAGATTGACATCTACGTCAGCGTCATCCTCAGCCTCAACGATGCTAGCCGGGCTCATGCCATCCGAGGCGGTGATGCTAGCCGAAATCACGCCATCCCAGGCGGGGTGATGCCAGCCGGGATCCCGCCATCTGAAGCGGTGATGCCAGCCCGAATCACGCCATCCGAGGCGGTGATGCCAGCCGGGATCCCGCCATCCGAAGCGGTGATGCCAGCCCGAATCACGCCATCCGAGGCGGTGGTGCCAGCCGGGATCCCGCCATCCGAAGCGGTGATGCCAGCCCGAATCACGCCATCCGAGGCGGTGGTGCCAGCCGTTATCCCGCCATCCGAAGCGGTGATGCCAGCCGGGATCCCGCCATCCGAAGCGGTGATGCCAGCCCGAATCACGCCATCCGAGGCGGTGGTGCCAGCCGTTATCCCGCATCCGAAGCGGTGATGCCAGCCGTTATCCCGCCATCCGAAGCGGTAATGCCAGCCGGGATCCCGCCATCCGAAGCGGTGATGCCAGCCCGAATCGCGCCATCCAAGGCGGTGGTGCCAGCCGGGATCCCGCCATCCGAAGCGGTGATGCCAGCCCGAATCACGCCATCCGAGGCGGTGGTGCCAGCCGGGATCACGCCATCCTAGGCGGTGGTGCCAGCCGGGATCACGCCATCCGAGGCGGTGATGCCAACCGGGATCACGCCATCCGAGGCGGTGGTGCCAGCCGGGATCAC